TGTTATTTATTATAACTGTTGTTATTTATTATAACTGTTGTTATTTAACTTTTATTTATTATAACTGTTATTTATTATAACTGTTATTATTTATTATAACTGTTGTTATTTATTATAACTGTTATTATTTATTATAACTGTTGTTAGAGCAGAAAAACTTTGGACTGCAGCCGCCATGTGCAACTTCTCTTCCCCTGAAAATCTCCACTCTGACCTGGATCCAGAAACTTTCAGCTTCAGAAAGAACGAGACCGTTGTCCGTAAATGAACGGCCGAATGTTTCACGTTGTGTAAGCGGGGGCTCAGACTGGCTGCCCCGTCCGTCAATCAAGAGATAAATTTCATAGATGGCTGACAGCTGTTAATCTAATGCCATGAGATCTACCCATAATACCTTTACAATTGACCGGTAGATCGCGATCAACGTGTTGGGCGCCCCGATAGAGGTTCCTCTGCTCCAACACGCCTGAGTTAAATCCATGGATGATCAACGGGCTTGAACCGTTGGATCAGGTGTGTTGGAGCAGTGGTGGCCCTCCAGGACCAGGACTGGACACCCCTGTCATGTGGTACACCTTTAAAGTAAAGACAGGCAGATTTATACAAGTCTTATAATTATTCTGCAGAATGTATTTGGACGGCTGTGGCTGAGTGGTTTGAGCAGTTGTCCTCTAATGCAAGAGTTGAGGGTTTGAATCCACCAGCAGTCGCATGCTGAAGTGTCCCTGGGCAAGACACTGAACCCCTCATTGCCTTTCATGTGTTTCCCATCAGTGTATGAATGTGATAAATCACTGATTAGTCTCTTTAGAATGATTTGTTCAATTAGCTTTGTAGGGATCTAGTATAGAGCTGTATGAACGGGTAAATGAGGCACAGATTGAAGTAAAAGTTGTAAAATAAGACAAGTGTTAAATTTAAATTAACTATTTTTGGAACACGATTCTCTGTATGCTAAAGCAAACTTGTAAAAAGTTCCTGAATGTCAGTTTGTTTTTTTTCTTTTCCAGAAAACTCTAAATTTAATTTGTTTAGACAAATAACATTTTATTACAGGCAATGCAGTGGTTCCCAACCCTGATCCCTGAGGAACGCCACCCTTGCATGTTTTAGCAGACTTGAGTAAAGCGCTTAGTGTCTTGATAAGATAGAAAGGCGCTATATAAATACAGTCCATATAATCCGTGTGGCTTTTAGACCTGTTTTTTTTTTTTTTTTTTTTGCAGGTGCGGCAACACCAGTGTTCATTTTGAGGGACTCGGCCTCTACGACTCGCGCAAGGAAATTTGGAACCGCCGCAAAAAGTCCTAAAACTTTTTGAAGACTCCATCGTGAACGCCGGTCGCCAGCGAGTCAGAGCGCAGTGAGGCACCACCTTCAGGGGAACTTGTGGTTTGCAAACGATTTGTTCCTCACCTCAATGTTCTCAAAACCAAATTCAAGAAACAGGAAGTCTTTTCCCTTCACCCACCACCTTGTTTTTTTCAGTGATTAATGATCCTTTTGTTTGGGTTTTAAATAAAACAACCGAGCTGACTCCGTGCTTCTGCAGAATTTCCCAACGAAACTGCAGAATACTTTTCCAAAACGGTGAGGCAGGCGTGTTTTGGGGTGTACAGACAAGAACACAAGTTCATAAATCAGGCTTCTTGAGTTCTTCAGCTGGAAAAATGGAACACGAAGGAATGAAGGAGGGATGTGACAGCAAGTCAGACGCTTCTCTACCCCGTGGTCTCCACATGTCGTCACATGTCCTTTTTCTTTTTTCTCTTTTTAAACCCAAAGAACTTTATCCATTTTTTTTGGATGAACCTCTTGAAGATCAGTTTTGTTATTAGACGCGCTAAAGCTTGACTCAGGTTTGATGCATAAAATGTTCAGCCGCTGCATTGAATCTCTGGGAATCACAATTTACAGGTTGATCTTCCCATTTTAAATACAACCCAAATAAAAAATTTTAAAAAGTTAAAAACATCTCATAAACCCATTAGTTTCACAGTGGAACATAATTAACATCAGATGTTTAAAACAAGAAATTGTTTCTTAAATTTTATGGCAG